AATTGAGTGAAGTGTGTAACAGAGACGTGACGATCGTCCAAGTGAGTAACGAGCCGATCAGAGGTGAAGATAAAAGAAACAGTTCTATTAATGCCCGTACTGTATCATATAGAGCTTTTTTTTTAATATATTCATTTACCCAAACTTTTAAATAAAGTCTTCAGGATAAAAAAAAAAAAAAAAAATGTGTAATGAAATTAGAACTGACTTTACTGATTCCGGTATCAACATTTCTTATGATATTTTTTATAAAAGAATGGGCTTCCCATCACTATATCATATAGAAATATTTCATTTAAGGATATCTTATTGGAAACGGTTTCTAGAGAATTTATGAAGGATCATTATGTTATCAAATTCATCTCCATATCACAATTAGCCATGCTTGAGTGACGGAAAGTGACATGGCGACCCTCACCCCCAAAAACGGTTCGACAGCAGACATAAGGAGTGAGGGTCTTATTGTGTGACAAATTTGAGTGTGTGTGACTGCGAGTTAACCTTTAGGCCCTGGGTAATGTTACAGAACGTCTGCCTATTTCCGCCAGTTTTTTTGTTTGTTTTTTTAAGTTGATTTTCTTGATTTATCTCCCCCCCCCCCACACGGGGGGGGGGAGGGTTACTGCCAGCAGCACCCTAACCCGGGGCTTAAGGGTTAAATGCCAGCTGTTGAGGAGTGCTTGGCAACACTCATTTCCACTCCAACTTTATTTATACTTATACAATCTCCCTAAAAATACTTTAGGTTTCGTATTTATTCAAGACCCACTAATCCCCAGGCCAAGAAAGAGTGGCCTGACATTCCATCATTAGGTCAGTAATATGAGACCACTAATCCCCCACCCTACCTCCACCTGACATTGTGTCAGGTTAGGTACAGGAGACCCACTAATCCCCCACAGCTCCATGGGAGTGGAAAATACCAGTCTTTGCGGTAACATACCGGTACAGCTTCATTCATGCCCATATCATATAGATTTTTAATTTTCAAATACAGTCATGCGCCGATTAACGTCCTAGATACGTTCTTGGAAACATGACGTTAACCGAAATGGACGTTGCCCGAAAGTAAAGAACTTATGGGATTTATTCTAATTGGTTCCAGGCACCCAACCCCAAGTTTCCCATCTTACGACCATTTAGATCCACTAAATATATATATAATGTTATGGTAAATATCATAAACACACATAGGCATGACTAGGTTTATTACAAAGTGATGAAAAGGATACGCTCAATACTGTACAGTGGGTAGTCCACAAAACATGTAGCTATGTGTTTCTTTATTTGAGTGCCCCGTCATAGGAGTCCGTTTTCTCTCGCTTCAGGACGCCTGAATCCTCCGTTTTCTCTTAATCTTAGAATGCACCCGAGACTTCGTTATTCCTTAGTAATGACACAGAATTTGATATTGCAACTGGGGTTGCAATTGTTGAGGCAACTTAGATATGTCTGATTACAGTTGGAATATTCAAGATCCATTGTGAGTGATGTTTAAAGCTTCAACTGTCTTTATGGTTGGTAAAACTTGTCAAGTCTGTCAGTCTGAGTGCTTGTGTTTGTACAACCGCTTTCATTCAGACCCACCAAAGATATAGTGTTATGGTTATTAACAGAAACACACATAGGCATGACTAGGTTTATTACAAAGTGATGAAAAGGATACGCTCAATACTGCACAGTGGGTAGTCCACAAAACATGTAGCTATGTTTATCTTTATTTGAGTGCCCCGTCATAGGAGTCCGTTTTCTCTCGCTTCAGGACGCATGAGTCCTCCGTTTTCTCTTAATCTTAGAGTGCACCCAAGACTTCGTTATTCCTTAGTAATGACACAGAGTTTGAAATTGCAACCCCAATTGCAATTAGGGTTGCAATTGTTGAGGCAACTAGATATGTCTGATTACAGCAAATGTGTTATTGTCAATTTGTAGGTGAAAGATTTTATCGTCAATAGATGTAGGTTAACATTACACCTGGAGGCAAATGCCTAAGGAAGGAAGGATATTCCTTTAACACATAATATCTGGCCAGTATGGGGAGGATCATCGTGTCTCCGTCGGGGGGTCGTGGAGTGGTGGTCCAGCAGGCGTCACGGAAGTGTTTTTTTGGGGAGGGGGGGGCGGACGTATATGCGTTAACCGGTGCATGACTGTATATTTATTTTACCAAACTTTTAGATAAACTATTCTGGCTTATTATAGTAAAGAAATGGAGTTTCTAACTTAATTAAAACCACATTTATGGACTCCGGTAGTTTAGATTCAAGGAAAACATCCCCAGCACCCAGAAACATTCTGGGGTAGTGGGTTAGTGTCTGTGTGTGCAAGATATCTAATTTAGACACTCAGAAACTTTTCCCAGTAACCGGAAAATATTCCAGGGACAAGGATTTTTTCCGGGTTTGAGAAAGTCGTCTAATTAGCCGGAAATCTTTCATCCCCGAAAGTGCTCTGCACCAATTGTTCTGGCTAACAGGGATATCACTGTACGGTAATTAAATTTTTTGCAAGGTTACTATGTTGTGGGAGGGAGGAGGGAGAGAAGAAAGTGAGACATTACATTCGATACAATGTATCCTTTTACTGTATTCTCAAGTCAAAATACTAATTATACATTATATTTTTTCTGTTTTTGAAGACTTTATATTATTTACAATGAATCATACGCCTTAGGAGGCTGACCATAGTAGATTATAATAATAATGAATCAATAATATCAGGTTGAAAGTTGGCCTTAACAGAAGTCAACAGGTAAGGAAGAGTGGTCAGGGAAGAGATTACCTTCTGATACAGCTTGGCCTTTTATTTTGAAGTCATATTACAAGTTATATATTGTATATTTTTCTATTATTTAATTCTGTATATTATATTGTTTATGACGAAACATACACCATAAGAGGCTGATCAAACGAGATTATAATGAATAAATAACAACAAACTGGCAAATGCAGCATGGTCAGCCCCCCCTTCCTTTTCGGCAGGAGGGAGGAGTGGTCAGGGAAGAGGATTTCCTTGTGATTCAGCTTGTCTTTTACTTTGAAGTAAAATTATTTACTGAACTGTATTGTATTTTGCTTTATTATTTAATACTATATGTTATATTATTTATGATGAAACATAACCACATTAGCCTGATCATACGAGAATACTGTATATAATAATGCAATAAAAACGAACTTACGATTGTGGCAACAGCCAGTCCCACACATCAAGTGTCATTTCATATTTATTAAAGACAATATATATTCTACTTAAAATGCTTGCCATCGTCTATGGGTTTAACAGAAGAGGAAGTATTGTTGGGGTGCTTAGGCATGATTGCATAACACAAAAAGTCAGAGAGAAGTGAAGAGAAAGAAGAAAATAGTAAAGAAAGAAAATAAGAGAAGAGTAAGAAAAGAGAAAAGAAAGAAGAGAGAGATATATGAACAACATATACACCTAGACCCCGACTTACGACGGGGTTAGGGACCCAAATCCAGGTCGTAAGTCCGACATGGTCGTAAGTCCGACATAGATAAAAAAAATAAAAAAAAAAAATAAAAAAATAAAAAAAATTTAATAAAAAATCTACAATGAAATACAGTACAGTAAAAGTAATGAATAATGATGAATGGATACAGTACAGTGAAAGTAATAAATAATAAGGAATGGATACAGTGTGACTGAGCACTTAACCTTTAATGTAGTCAGCTGAATGCACATGGGGCCCCCATAATTTTCTAATTATACATGGAGACTACATTAACTGGAAACATTTCGGTATAAATCTGAGGCGGTCGTAAGTCCCCGTAAATCGTAAGTCGAGGTCTAGGTGTACACTGTAGTCATGATAATTCACGAAATACAAATTTGCGTACTCATGGCAAGAATTCGCACCACCCCACCGCGCACCAACTCAAAGCGCTCTGCCGCTCCTTCCCCAATCGTCAGATCAATGGGGTAGTCATCAAAATTGCTGGGTATTTCCCTAATATACAATTATCGGTTATGTGAAATGGCAGTTAACGTGACGTCGGTTTACAGGGTAAACCTGCATCCACTTCATTGCCAGAGATTAGACAGTACTGTACACTTTATCTTAAACTGTATAAGGTCATCCATGCCATATACATATGTATGTCGGGACTTTGGAACCATCTAGAATCTTCCTTTGTAGTTCGGGAAGCTTCTGGAGTCTAGAACCTTACCTATATATATTAACAAATTAAATAAAAAACAACTGAATTTACAGGAATCATATCATAAGTAAGATATTTTTTATTTGAACTAATTTATTATGAGTGTAAATAAGCCAAGCTGTGATAGTGTAATATGTTGGTTGTTGTTTTCATCAGTTGTGCCCCCTGTACTGATAAGCACACCCGATTAAAGGATTTCGTCTGAGTTATGACATCGCTGTAGCTTAATTAGTCCAGTTCTATGGGTTTTTATTGTATATTTTGTTTATTTATAATTCAGCAAAAGGTAAGTTTGCATAAATAAATACCGTTTGGTGTCTGTCCGATTGCAGTTAAACCTCTGTAGCAATGGTACTCTGTGCCAGATGAGTTGTTTGGATTCGGAAACATTCACCAATGCCCGGAAAAATTCCATATATGTGTGGGTTTTTTCCAGGATAAGAGAATTTGTCTCAATACCCGGAAATCTCTTAACTCGGAAGCTCTCTACACCATTTGTTCTGGCTAACAGGGAGATTACTATTAGTTTCCTCTGCAAATTTGAGGCAGACTGTTGGAGAGAACTGTATTTGCCAATGTAAACTGTATACCAAATTTCATGAAACTAGCATTCAGTTTAAAAAGAAAAAACTGCAGTGAAAAAATTGCTGCTAAAAATCAATACAGTAGCAGCCTACATTAAAAGAAGATTATAAACTAAATTTCGTAAACTTAACACAAATGGTTTGAGAAAAAAACCCTGACAAAATGGATGGAGTAACAAACATGGCAAAACAATTTCAATGTGATCCCCATATTTATGTGGAGTTATCAACATACCAGTTTTAATATCCAGAATGTGGAGAGACTTGTCCTGACATGTGAATGCTGCAGTAGTAGATGTAGCAGAAGCAGCTGTCACTTGAGACGTGAGGTAAACCACCCAACTCACAACGTTTAATTGTGTCCTGCTAACCCGATGCAAGTTAGGTGTACCCAAACCGACACGACCACCAATGCGGTAGTCATTCTCCACCACTAGTAAAGTTGGAGGACCATCTTGAGAATTCTCTCCTGGTATCTGAAAAATATATATATTTTTTTGTTTGAACTGTATTAAGCCTGAGAATCAATAGTACTAAAGATTATCTTCAGTTTAATTCATGAGATTGATCAAGAAAACAGACACCACAAGAAGGGAAGGAAATGGTAAGTGATGCAAGAGCATAGAAAGCAACAAGAGATAGCTCAAAGTAACAACACTACACTTTCTCATAAACTCAAGTTGCATACAAAGGTGACTACAGTGAAAAAACACTTCATTTCAATTCACAAAACAAACAAGCTAACTCAAGAGTAATTCATACTGACTATGCCACACATGACTCCACTGTTCACTATGCATTACCATAGTTCTAGCATTATCTAACTTGACAGACACCTTTTGACCTCATTAATACACCAATACAGTCTGTCCAGCTCCAACTTGGTCTTCTCCCTGCTCTCAAAGCTCCAATATCCCACACCAATAACCATAAAGGTTACACTGAAGGAGGAGGATTTCATTTTTATTTTTCTTATTCACACAAGCCTTTTCCTTCTCTGATGCAGGGTGGCTAAAAAGGTGGTGATCACCTGACTCTAAACAATCATCATTTAGCAGGTTACCGACTTGACAGTATGCTAGTTGACCAAAAATGTGTTCCATTATTGGCAAGTGCATCTAATATTGTACTCAAGGAGGGAACCCAATCCTCCACTCTACTCGGGTATCAACCCATGACTACCCAGTATTTGCTTGTGAAGCATATACTGCACTCTCATTAAAGAAACAGAGTCACTAATTATTAATAAAATGAAATATCTCATGTCCAAAGAGAGTAAATCAAAGTAACTCATTCAGGTTACCTAGGTTACCAAATGAGCTCACAACCAGTGACACTAATCTTGAATCTCATTAAGACTGTCTACAATGAGCACTGTATAGAGGGAAGCTTCTACTTAATATTGTAGCTACAAGTCCAAATAAGATCCTCATCCTAATTCATTTAAGTTAAATGAGTTTACTGAAGTTACATTTACCAAAATAAGGAGATATGTAGAGAAGATGTCATTACCTGAACTCTTGCTGATTTTGATAGAGATGCTTCAGGTAGTAGGAGCAGAGGCTGCCCAATGTGCTGTGTGGTAACTACCGGTGGTCGTGATGAAACAGGCGTAGGAGCTGCTGGTGGGGAGGGAGCTCGGGGGGGAACTGGAGCGGAGGATCGATCATACAGTGGAGGCCGCCCACGTTTTCGCTTGACCATAATAGGCTGTGCATCTTCCTGTTTGCGTTTATTAGATAAAGTAGTGACCTGACCATCAACCTGCTTCTCAGAGTTATTACCAGACGACCTGTTAAAACAAGAAGACCCATTATACAACTATAATGATAAATCCATATTTCTTAAATAAATAATTACCATAAAGAGAAAAACATAAATGGAATAAACCTTCTTCATGTGCTTAAGAGTTCATGCTGAGCAGAGGAAGGGGAGTGAGGGATCTCAGTTGTTCTGAGCTGTCTCCTGTGAATAGTGAAATGACTGACAAATTTTGTCGTCCAGCAGCCAAATGGCAATACAGTATTGAATTTTTTTTTATTTTACATATAGGTATAATTTTAATTTATTCCTCATATAATAAAAATTTACTGGCATATATTATTTTATCATATTCCTCATAGGAGCTGGTAACTGGTGGGAATTCAGTTTCAAATTAGGTAACACTGTTCATAGCATCAGCTGTTGTGGTGGTGGTCACAGCCAAGATGTGTTGGTGTGAATCTGGTGTCTTGGTACAAAATGTCGAGGATAGTTCCTAGAATTTCTTCAAAGCTAGGGTCAAATTATACTAAAGACACAGAAAATGAGAGACTCAGGCCTTTTTTACCCAAAAATCTGGGTTGTACTATAGTTTACAGTATATGATAGCATTTTACACATGAGTATATAAGGTATACTAGGAGCCTGTTCATAAATCCGGGTGTTGGTTCCCCCACTTATCCTGAGTAATTATGTAGAATGTAAAATTCATAAACAGAATTAAAAATATAAAAGGCAAGATGTCCCGAAATTACTGAGTCAGATCTAGTCTACATGGAAAACAGTTCATAAACAAAATAGAGAGACTTACTTGCCAAATCTAGCAGGTAAACCTGCAGGTACACCATTGAACTCCGCTGGTAGAGGCGTTCCCTTGCCAGGAGAGCTGCTAGAATTACCACAGAAAACTGATGGTGGTCGACTGGTTGACACATTGGGCTCCACCACTCCATCAACTTTTTCTACTACAATTTTACTCTTTTCCTGTTGACTAGAGGAGAAACTTGCCTCATAGGACTTGTTTGGACTCTCCACACTGGAATTAAAATAAACAATGACATAATATACGATTCAACCACAAGAAATTATACAAAAATTTTTGTACAGAACTTCCGTGAATACAGTAGATATTTCTACCTTTTTTTACTAGGGAAACCAGTTCATTGACAACATTAATTAAAAATTTGCAGACATTGAGCTTGAAAATTACTGTCAGATTCCATTTAAGCTGATTGCAAATATATAAATTTAAACTAGAAATACAACATCTGGCCAAGAGGTGAACAAATGTGAAGTTCCTTGAGAGAGTTGAGGGGGAGAGTTCTTAAAGGAAACTTATTCTGGGTTTACTAACTCAGAGGAAGCATACAGTATACTGTATGTGCACCAAATATGATTTCACGTTAGAACAGAAAATGAGTTTGTGATAGCAAATGACAGCTAAGCAAATGGCAGCTAGAGTGTATGGTGTTAAATAAATGTATAGGCCATTATGGTTGTTTAATATTTTTGTGTTAGGCAGCAGGGATTATTACAAGAGAAGTCAGTGTGTGGGGACCTATAAAATAGTATTGCACTGTGAAAATTTATTGGTGACGACAAAGAATCATCCCATCTTTCTTTATCAGAGGTACTAGGAGTCACATAGGTTTACCAATACCTAAAGGTATGACTGGCTGTACAATTTTGTTTATGTATCTTATTGTGGCAATAAATCTCATTGGCTGCCTTCACCCTCAGATCTGTTGCTAGAATAAGTGATGACATTTGTTAATATGATAACACATACCCTTCAGTTGGAGGAATAAACATTGGTGTGATCCTTCTCTTGCCATCAGCTGTTCTCGTTTCAATTTGTTTGTTGATTGGGGCTCGCTGGGGTGTTGGTGGGGCTGGTCGCTGACTTTGCTCACTGAGGAATAAATATCCATTTATTAAACATCATTCAATGATTTCTCTATCAGTATTTTTCCCCTCATGGCAAGAATTTAAGTTCCAAGCCCTTCTCCTACATAATCTTTTTTATGTATTATGTAGGATGTTTAGTGTTCATTAAAGCATCTTTGGAACAGTTTATGGGCATTTCTTGGCCTCCAGAATCAAAATAATTACAGTATTTCCATTTAAATCAATTAAACTATAATTCACAATTTGATGATACACAATATCTTCTGGCACCTAACCCTCAAATTACCTACACTCCACTGTACTGTATTGTCAGTTAAGTTGTTACCTCCATGGGCTAATCATAGGAATAGCACTCATACTGTACAGTACGCCCGGATAATTTGCGGTCCTCTATTATTCGCGGACGACACCCTGGATGTACCCAAGAATGTCTAAGGGTAGTTTTAAAGTTGCTGGCACTTTCGCGGCCAGGACAGGGAGCCATTCGTTCTAGAGACAGTAATTTCCTTTACCTGTATTGTATATGTGTGTGTGTAGACACAAAACACATAGTACAAATATATAATAATGGGAAAATCCTCTCACAAATAATCAGAAAAATGTTTATAAAAATGTTGAATCTACAGTTGCTCTGTATACTGTAATACTTGTTATGGTCTGTTTTCCCATCTTTGAAGGGTCTGTCCTCTTTTATCCGCCCTAAACAAAAATGAGAGGAGTAACAATAACAGAAGAGATAAAAAAAAAATGGAATGCAAGGTAACATACAAAATATTTCATTCTACCTGGCAGTTGCTGCTTTTGCCCTTGCTCTTTCCTCCTCACGAAGACGGAGAAGTTCTGGGTTTTCTATTATCGTGGGGTTCAATGATGAGGCAGACGTCAGAGCTGACTTACCATACAGCTTCATATGAAGATTATTCTGAAGGCAGAACATAAACTACATATTGAAATTCATAATTAAAAAGCTTGAATACATGCAATCTTGTTAAGCAAGAATAAAAACTATTAATTACAGTGGATTCGGTTAACGAACACAATTCGTTCCAGAAGGTCGTTCGTTAACCGAAACCATTGTTTCAATGGGATTTTGGGTAATTGGTTCCAGCTCACCGAAGGCTCCTGGTTGATGATGATGGGAATTAGAAGTGGGGGTGGAGGAGAAGGGAGAAGAGAAGGAAGTGGGGATGGAAGAGAAATCACCCCATGCTTGATGCCGTCATTTCACCCATAAAATTTTAAGTTCACTAGGTGTAATTCAAGATTATTTTCTTTAAATCAACACTGCACTGCACTATATATTGTCAATATGTTAAATAAATTTCAGAATGACCAATAATTGTACTGTAAAAACGTAAAAATACTCTGTGTTCAAGTGACCCACAAGCAAGATGTTTCCTCCACTGAACAGAGATACAAACTGAGGTCTTGGTGGGTGAGTGAAGTGGCTGATGGGTGCACCAAAAACTAGTTCCCTGTACTGCAATTATGTTAAATAAGTACTAAAATAACTAAAAATTGTAATATAAAACTTGGAAAATTATTGAATAGTACAACCTTTTTGATATTTACTCCAATTTTAACGAATGTAAGCCCAAGAACCGATTTCTGTATTGGCGGACTAATCTTCCAGCTGGTGAGCAAGCCAAAGCATGTCGAAACATTTTCATAATAATTTCGTTAACCAAATTTTTTTTAGTTAACCGAAATGAAGATTCTTATGGAAGGTAATTCGTTAACCGAAATTTCATTAACCGAGGCGTTCGTTAACCGAGAGACCACTGTATAAGTCCAGGAGACATTACCCAAAGGATGGTAGTGTTTATTCCTGCTAAACTAACACTTAACCATAAACCGTTTATCTCAGGTAACAGAGGATTAAAAGCAATCCTAATATCTTGAGAGGAGATATAATTGGTCATGACATCACATTATGAGAAAAGAATCTGAGTATAAAGCAAATGCAAAATTCCTAATACAGTACTGTACTTGTCTGTACAGTGGTCCCTCGGTTAACGAGATTTCGGTTAACGATTTACCTTCCATAAGATTCTTAACTTCGGTTAACGAGCAATCCCTCGATTAACGATTTTTTTACGAGCCGACTTCAACATGTTTTCGCTTGCATTTGGCGGTCCACCAGCTGTAGTAGTAGTCCGCCAATACAGTAATCGGTTTTAGGGCTTAAATTCCTTACTATTTTAGTAAATATCAAGAAGTTTATACTATTCAATAATTTTAAAAGTTTAATATTAACTTTTTTAGTAATTTTAACAATTATTGAGCATAATTGAAGGTAAAGAAACTAGTTTCTGGCGTGCCATCCAGCCTGTTAACACACCAGACAGGCGTTAGTCTCTCTGTTTTCAGTGGAGGTAACATCTTGCTTGAGACTCTCTTCAACTAAACGCTTTTTTCTGTGTTTCCAAGCAAATTATTGGTCATTTTGAAATATATTTTACATATTGACAATATATAATGCAGTGCAGTGTTGATTTAAAGAAAATAATCTTGAATTACACCAAGAGAGCTAAAATTTTATGGGTGAAATGGCACCATGGGGTGACTTCTCTTCTTCCTTCTCCTCCACCCCCATTCTAATTCCCATCATCATCATCCAGGAGCCTTCTACATACACACCTCAAAGTAAATGTACTTTTCTACCTTTTTTGTTGAATTTAGGCAATTTTCGGTGAGCTGGAACCAATTACCCAAAAACCCATTGAATCAATGGTTTCGGTTAACGAGTTTTTCGGTTAACAAGCAACCTGCTGGAACGGATTGTGCTCGTTAACCGAGGGACCACTGTATCTGCATTTCAATCAATACAGCTAAGTATATTTTACATTTTATTTTTCCAAAGGTATTTCTACCTTAGTTTCTACAAATGTTAGATCTTTATGAACATTTCAGTCTCATTCTACTCCTGATACAGAAAAATTAACTTTTCCAAATACAATCACAACAAATAACAATTCCTTTCTCACTTACAGTATTAAGAGATACAAGTACCTTAATAGTAATGAGTTCTGAAATAAAGGCTCAAGGACAACAGGAAATACACAAGAATATACAAGTGTATGACATGTGAGTTAGGGAATATTGAGGAAAAACTTAAAGGTAGGAAAATTTAGTGACCAAGGGATATACAACATTTGCATAATTTAAATACAGTATTCAATAACTCTAAACCCACCGTCTCGTCCTCAGATAGAGGATATCCTATTTCTTCCACAGAGAAATTGATGAAAGCAAGAGTACCATCTTTAGACACTGCCATCAAATATCGCCCACAACTGCTCCATGAGAGGTCAAGAACCTGGACAAACACCACACACAATTATAAATATAATAAACTCCCTTATTTGCAGATGATGTTTCACTGACTTATAACAGTGTATAAAATTTCATCGAAGAAACTATTGAATTGAATTAGCATTATGAATAGTAAGTTATCTTCAGTTACCTAGACATATTGTTGTATGGCCACAAACTACTGTACTGTGAGGTATAATATTCCATTATAAATATATAAACACTGAAACTTTCCATAACTTACAGAATCATCAAATATGTCATGAACAACCACCAGTGGCCTCTTGAGTGAAGTGAACCAAATTGAGATGGAGCGATCACGAGAACCAATGGCCACACAGCAGTACTGCACCGACTTGCCTGTCTTCGGGTCAACTTTCTTCAAGGTGTTTGGGTTGAACCGCTGGAGAGTTTACAAATACATTCCAGTTATTTACTGTATAATATTCTAAATTGTGTTTTGTCAATTGGTTCCATGAAATTTTTTATGATATTTCTCTTCACACAATATGGTAAGTCATGCACACCGTTTTTCTACTCCAAAGATGATGGACCATTTCCTCCAACATACATTACAACAATTACATGCTTTCTTTTTCTCTCAGTAATATCCATGATGTTCCCTTTATAATATACTATAAAATCTAAACTTCATCTTTTCTCAATATATATTCTAGTAAAGATCCAAATACTGTACTGTATAACCTAAATATCCTTCTTTCTCTCTCAAGTATGTCCATGATCTTCTGAACACACTGTCTTTACATATCTCATTTACCATTTAATTATCCAGGCCTTATTTTGTATGTTTCTTACCTTTATAACTTAATTTCCACCTCTGTTTAACCATTTTTTCTTAAACCCAACCACATATTTAATATTATTTAATACGGTACTTTTAAATGTTGTTACCAATAACTGTAGTGGTTGGGCATGTTTATCTTATGTCCAAATCAAATTTTATAATGGTTTCCCCCCACATACAAAAACCATTTCCATCTTGCAATTTTTTTTATTCTGCTTCCACTTGTCTCTTTGCTACCCCTCTTTCTCTATTCCTCAATCTCAACTTTTCACAACATGATTAGCATTACATGCAATGTATCTCATAATATAATTTTATAACCCTTAACGACCAATTGCTTCACGAGCTGTACTTTTATGTATCTGGCCACTATCATTCCTGCCAAACGTATTGTACCTGCGTATTTATTCTCTATATATATTGCACAATTATATATTTTGTCAACATAGGATTACTTTTGTCATTGTCTAAGTGAATAGGTTATAATCATAAATTCTATTATGTAAAAGTAACATTGACATGTTAAGTACAATGTTTGGGTCAATCTGCTCAAAGCAACCCATAGAAGTAGACAGCTTCAGTCAGGCCAGTCGCACACAAGCTCAGGTTGTCACAAGACCTCCACTACTGACCTGTATTGTCAGTATACTTCTGTCTTCCATCTGGTGATGTACTCATGGTATTCATTGGTGAGGCTGGTGGCTGTTTTGGAGTGTTATGTATATGTGTTACTTGCATTTATGATTGTTTATTGATTTGTTTATTGGTGATATTTACAACCTTAGAGTAACATAATACGTTCTACTTAATAATTTTCTATTTCAATGTTATTAGTAGCAAGTGTTTGTAAATATAGTTATACATTTTACTTAACTCTCTTTACTCCAATCATCAAGTATTCACTTATTAAAAGGGGCAACATTCAATCAGTATTATACCGTAGTGGGAGTAATTCACTTTTAAATATACCGTATACACTTTTTGTTTGTTATGAACCTTACCCCTTTGCTGCATAACAATTACAAAAGTTAAAGCAATTTTATCTTATCCCTTAAATGACGGTCATCATCAGTGGACATTTCAGGTTTCTTGCATTCCACTTTTACACATGTGGGAGCGGAGTAAGGAATCCTTAGCTACCGTCTCAGATTTAATTAATCATTCGGCAATTTTTAACTTAAGCACTTCACCCAGATAAACTTACCACACATGTTATAGGTTTCCGGTGGCCAACAAAATCCTTATCAGTATTCCATCCATCACGGTCAATAATCTGTGCTGTAGGACCCCCATTGTTCATAGCATGAGCTGAGACTAAGTACTGGCCATCTGGGGACCAACTTGGCCGTAGGACAGTTGTCGTGCCACCACACTGTTCAGCCAAAACCAAAGGAGAAGTTGTACAGGGTATATAGTATACATAAATTTAATTAACCATTTATAAAGTACTGTACTCATCCATATAATAACACAAAGGAAACTGTACAATGGGTGTTAAATGAATGGTGTACAATGGGTGTTAAATGATTGGGGTACAGTACTGAGGATGAAACAAATGACAGGTTCCACATCCCTAAACCTGTACTGCAGCTTATTACTGTTATGTCTTAGCCTATACTATACTCCGAGGAAAGTGAGATTAAAAATATTCCCACTGTAGCACTTTACCAACCATACTTGACCAAGGATCAGATACATTCAATATTGTACATTAAACCTAAAAAAACAATGGTTTTCTCATCTTTCTTTCAGTAACTAACAGACCAACTTACCTCAGTGAATGGATCAACAATCTTTTCTTCAGTCGTCCAATCTGTGGTACGCCAAATACGCAGACTCTTATCATCTGCTTGAGAAGTCAAATAACGTCCAATTGGGTCCCATGTCACTCCTTTCACTAAACCAGTGTGTCCTCTTAAAACTCGCACTTGCTCTGTCAAGTTGAAAACAATAACCCTAATTTTTAAAACTAAACAAACAATCTAAAAAAAAATTAATGAAAATAATATACAGGGCTTGAAAATGTCTAGTACTGTAACCTGGTATTCAGGACACCAGGATAAAAAACTCAGGTTTGAGGAGGAAGACGGAAGACACAGAGGGGAAAAAGAATGAGATAGAAGGGATGGGGAAGAGGCTTCTGACATGATTTTTGTACATGTTTTGCAGGAAGGTTGACCTTCAAAAGTTCAGGACTTACGATATATTTGTTAATGTTAGTTTGACATGATGTAACCTACCTGGCCATTTAGATGTGTTCCATATAATAACACTGTTATCTATGGATGCTGATGCCAGCCACACATCCCCTGGTGACCACGCGACGTCCAAGATGTCGCCTTCGTGACCACGTAGTGTTGCTACACTCCGCCAAGACTCAACATTCACCACACTTGATCCAAAAACTTGACCACCTAGAGAACATTATACAGGACCATATGAACATAAGCAAATTTGTCAAGTGTGCTTCAGGAAAAACATTAAAAACTAGTTACTATAGATAACTGATACAGTACTGTACTTTGAAGTGAATATTATTATTCTAGAAGTGAAATAATGAATGGTGGAAGGTGAAACAAGCGAGATATTGTGATCTTTTAAAACAAGTGTGGGCTATAAAAAAATGTAAATAAGAGATTTAGGTAAGTGCTGCGACTGTGCCACAAAAGAGAACATGTAAATGATGATCATAAATTACAAACAAATAAAGCACAAATAAGGGAAAAAAATGGAAAAATGCAGTCAATGAGTGTACGGTGTGGAGATAGAGTGAATGTTACAGATTATCATGTGATGTTGAGTGTGGTCATAGAGAGAAAACCAAAGGGAGATCAGGACCCAATTTACTCCTGCCATGGTTGTACTCCCATGAACACCCAAGGTCAACTGGTCTTCTAACCAAACACATTGTGGTAATGCTCATTTAAAAGGCATGGATGGATCAGTACATTAAAAGACAGAGAAGGAGGGCATTTTTTTTTTATTAGCATGGTTTTGTATATAACTGTGTGGTTGAGTGAGTAATGGCCTATAAAAACCATTAAACGAGTTTTCTAGTATTGCTAATAACACGATGTTGAAAGTCAAAACATAAGAGGTAGGATTCCCAGTCACCACATCAAAAAGCTTAACAGTTCATAACTAGATGTGGGTGAGGAAGGCTGTTGTGTAGGTCTCTCTTTACCACAAAGGGAGACTATGATGAAAATTTTATAGAAGTATACAGTACATCTGCTATAAATGCATAGACTAGACTTACTAGTTCTTGCTGTGTCTCTATTCAACTCCTGGGAACTAGAGAATTTAGAACTTTTATTCTTAAGATGAAGCAGTAAATGTGTAATCAATTGTAATATATTGTAATCAATACGACTTGTATCAGTGTCATTGCTTTTTTTTTGTTGAATCTGTAATTCTGGTACAACACTGTCCACAAATAAGGCAGATTATTATATGAAACGCCTCCAAACTAACCAACTCAAGAGCCACCCCTCTTAATTTGTCACAGGTCAAGTGATAATTTCTTTGTAGTTGCTCATGTAATCAAACTGGTCCAAACATAATCTGACTTTGCCCATTTCTACTACAGTACATTTTATTAAACACTGAGATGTCCCAATTATTTAAATTAATGGATTTGTATTTCCAGGGGGTTTAATGAAGCTGGTGCTACTGAGTTAGTTTAGGAACCTCTTCTACATCTCCCATCAACTGCTATGAGACCAAAGCTTTCTGGGTGGTTACTACATCACCCTGGCTGTTGCTGTTAGCAGCTTGCATACTCACTACAATCAGGATGATCCAGTTCATTATACTGTACTGATATCTGAAAAGCTTCTTGAGGACATCAGGTAGTTCCCCTATGATGACATTCAACTCTTTTAGTTCTTTGTTTGGACAGTTGCCTCCATTTGTAATAGGTACAGTGGCTGACGTGTTGAGTGAGATATGGCACCACTGTTTATTTACATCATAGTAAAACTAGCATAACTACCCTCGCATTTCCTGCATGGTTTTAGTTTTAATATAGCTTACCACGTAAAATGTCATTGGCTCCTATCTCTTGTCTGGCAGGCAGCCACTGTACCCATTAGAAATGTAAACAACTGTACCTCATGCACTTGAGACCAGAGTCCTACACAAGTATGAGATATGGACTGAAGTTTCCCACTACATTTCAAATATCCTGGAGTGCCATGATGCCATGTCACCAGCAATAATAATTAACCCTCAGAAATTTAACAGCTGCTCAATTACCCTTCAAACACCCTGTTGCAAGGATGTTTATCAGAACACGCAACCAGATGGAAACACAAGTGCACTGCAAAATTAGAGGAAACAGGCACTAATTCTGATGGAAATTAAAACTTTAAAAAAATTATGATTATGAAGCTTAGCTTGACTATATAAACAACCTGTTAACACAGGGAGATGTAGTGGCCCAAACTTTTGTACTACAAAGGAAACTTAAAGGGATTGGCTTTTAACAATGTTCAATTAGTTTATAAGGTATTTTTTTTTATCTTTCTTTCATGAAACCTTAGGTGGGGGAAATGCAAATGTATACTGAGCTTAGGAGTGAAATGATTAAATGAAGAAGAGTTCAGTATTCTTGTATTAAAGGGTTTAAATTCATACATACACAGACAATTCCATATGTGCATAGTGTATTAGCTTGCGGGCACCAACCAACATGCATGCAGACAACCTTACCCCATCCACATATAAATGGAAAAGTTAAAGTTTCAACAAGCTTTACAGAACACATTGGTATGTTCAGTTATCCTTATTTACACAAAGCCAAACTATATGAACCAACAGATATATACTGTACTCTACACACACATGCAAGTATGAACATGTATATTATGTTCATACAGTGAAATACACACATACAAAGACACCACAAACACTGGACAGTTGCAAGCCTCACTAAGCTATCAGATTTATACTATAAAACCTCACTAATTTGGGTTAGGTATAATTTATACAATGTAATTCAAGCAGGTAAAAGAGAAGGGCAATGACTGACTGTGAATGGATCCCATAGTCATCTAAATTAACCTTATTAATGACCCCCATGACTGTATAATGATACAAATGATTCCACATGTTTCACCAGTGTTAGCACCAGGTTTTGTTGTGGGAATACACACAGTTTGAGATGCAAGTTTCACCCCAGTAATTAAAATGATTCACTGATTCAAATGAACCAGATCCCCATATAGCAGTTCAAATTAGTGAGGTATCAATGTAGTGAAATTCTGTTCAAATGCTACTTAATAATCAATGTACTCACCTCCATAACTGCTCTGTTGCCAGATAATAATAACTTTATCATCTCCAGCTGAGGCCAAAAAACGGCCATTACATGACCAACGAACACTGTTCACGCACCCTAAGTGCTGATCTAGTTGACACAACAACTTGGGCACCTACAGGAAATGGTGACATGTTAGTCACTGAACACTACTTATTCATTTTTTGTTTTATGTCTGCCTCTGGGGTATTCAGTTTAAACATATTATTGACATAATTTTTATCAAAAGTTGAACTTTAAGAAAGACTGAAAAGGTAATAGACAGATCATGGTGTCAAAAGTTTAATTACAGCTCTGAATACATAGTAAAGCCACTGGGCCACCCACCGACTCATGTTATACAATCTGAAGAAGATCGGGATATACTGTACAGGTAAAGAAGCTTTATCCAATATACAGTACACATAAGTAAATTAGAGAAGCAAACAAAAAAATTAGTTGGGAATAAAATTTAAATGTGGGTCTATGATGTCAAATTTGCTGTCTCAATAACAGAAATCCTTTTTGTGTATTTTTGAAATGTACAATAATCTTGTCCCTAATTACTTCATGTTAAAAAAGTCTAAAATCTTTTTAATCAATTAGCATCAGTAGCCAAGCTAATGACATGTAAAATGTCAAAGTTACAGGCAGAAGACTGGAGTGTTGAGACAATACTGTACAGACAAATCTTGTATATCTGACAAATTTCCATAACTCTTATTACTGGTATCTAATATACAGTATTCCTTTGTAAAAATTTTAAATTGGTTTTTTCAGTGTGAATTTACAACTTACAAAATATATTCTCTTCTCTTTCATGTTTATTTGAAAAATTTGGTGGTTAAATAACTCCTCAATTACCTAGAGTACAGTAGACATAACAACCAGTTCCATTTGATATGTGGCTGAGAGCTGACTAGATCCCCCCTCTACCAATGCCCTTGGTGCACTGATTCAGATTTCAAACAGATTTACAGTACCTCAACATCCACATAAAAAGACTTTTAATTTTCCTTTACATTTACTAAAAAATTAACAAAATTTTGATGTAAAAATGAAGAGGTATCAAATGATAACACATCTATCTCCAGCAGCCATCTAACTCGGTTCCGACCACAGTAGGAGACTAATAAAAACTGATTTACGTAAGTTTACACCTCTCTCAATGATAACCCTTAGCAATCACATTCCAGCATGTGTGCTTTGGCTATTTCTCTGAATGACTCTTAAAGCAAAATTTTCTTTAAGAGGCATTCAGACTCGACTGTACAGTATATAATATACTGTACAGTCGAGTCTGGATTTACGCGGTTTTTGTTTACGCGTTTGATCATTTACGCGGCACCTTGCCAGAATGAAATGTTTTAATTATGCAGTAAATTTCATCATTTGTGCGGGTGAAGTATAATTTGTTTATTTACTGAAGATATACTCTGTATATGTTTTTAGCTCATAAAATATATAATTTACATTGCTGGAATCCTTACATGATGGTGATCATTTTAAATATAAACATCTAAAAATTTGCATTAGACATACAAATTTTAGATGTAATTTAAGGAGATGATGAAAATTAGCAAACATTATATCTTTTGTGCAAAATATATTACGTTTACATTCAAAATATTCCCTGTCCTGCAAGGAATCCAGCAATGTCAATTACATTATCCTAACTTTAGTTTGAGGTATTATTTATTACTAAAAATGTAAATACAGTGACCCCTCGTTTAACGAACGCCTCGGTTAACGAACTGCCTTCCATAAGGATCTTCAATTCGGTTAACGAATTTCTTACGAACCGACCTCAACATGTTTTCGCTTGCACTGACCGGGCAACCAGCTTTAGTATCAGTCTGCCAATACATTAATCGGTTCTAGGGCTTAAATTCCTTACTATTTTAGTAAATATCAAGAAGTTTATACTATTCAATGATTTTAAAAGTTTAATATTAACTTTTTTAGTCATTTTAACAATTATTGAACATAATTGAAGGTAAAGAAACTAGTTTCTGGCGTGCCATCCAGCCTGTTAACACACCAGACAGGCGTTAGTCTCTCTCTGTTTTCACTGGAGGTAACATCTTGCTTGAGACTCTCTTCAACTAAACGCTTTTTTCTGTGTTTCCAAGCAAATTATTGGTCATTTTGAAATATATTTTACATATTGACAATATATAATGCAGTGCAGTGTTGATTTAAAGAAAATAATCTTGAAATACACCAAGAGAACTAAAATTTTATGGATGAAATGGTGCCATGGGGTGACTTCTCTTCCACCCCAATGCCTTTTCTTCTTCCTTCTCCTCCACCCCCATTCTAATTTCCATCATCATCATCATCCAGGAGCCTTCTACATACACACCTCAAAGTAAGTGAACTTTTCTACCATTTTTGTTGAATTTAGAAAATTTTCGGTGAGCAGGAACCAATTACCCAAAAACCCATTGAAACAATGGTTTCGGTTAACGAACGACCTTCTGGAACGGATTGAGTTCGTTAACCGAGGGGTCACTGTACAGTATACTGTTTTAACCCAAACATTTCTCTGGTAGGGAGGGAGGGACCCAGCAAGCATGGGAAGAGGGGGAGGGGGAGGAGTGGGAGGTGGGGTATTTTGATTGACAGATAGTGTCTGGATGAAGTATAATTTGTTTATTTACGGTCAGAATATAATTTACATTGCTGGAATTCTTACAAGATGGTGATCATTTTAAATATAAACATCTTAAAATTTGCATTAGACATACAAATTTTAGATGTAATTTAAGATGATGAAAATTAGCAAACATTTTATCTTTTGTGCAAAATATATGATGTTTACATTCAAAATATTCCCTGTCCTGCAAGGAATCCAGCAATGTCAATTATATCATCCTAACTTTAGTCTGAGGTATTATTTATTACTATACCTTAAAATCTAGTGTTTTCACCCAAACATTTCTCAGAGAGGGAGGAGCCAGCGTGGGAAGAGGAAGGGGGGGAGTTGAATCCATTATTTGAATGGACATAAACCAGGCGACTGTATTTCTCTTAAATATTAATTGTGTGCGTATACCATCATAAAATTAAGATGTTATTTTTACTACAACGTAGGTATTGTGTCGGAAAAAGTGGAGTTTGGGGGTCGGCCCAGTCTCTATTTCAATTAATCCCATATGTTCTGTTATTTCATTTACGCGTTTCTCATTTTACGCAGGCCTCCACGGGTTCAATTGACCGCGTAAATGCACTCAACTGTACAGTATTTAAGTGCTAATAAAAAATGGACACAAAACTAAAAAAAAAAAAAAAACCCCGTAATCATGTTACATTTGCTTTAGATTTTTTCACCTTAAAATGCAATATACTGTACTGCACTCCTGCATTTTATGATACAGTACTCTACACATATTATAAATATAAAGTGCTGTAAATCCAAAAGGTGGTCATAGAATAAAGCAAAATTGTCATGGGTTCCACAAAGTCTTAAATAATTTACTTAATTTTTTTTTTACATGGGAACAGCCCACCCGAGCACAGGTCATTGACCCACAACGGAGCCTGGGGGGCAAAAATATAAGAGTAAAGAGAAATTAAAAATACTGTAGAAGAGAAAAAGATTATATTAATCTACATCAAAAAGATGTTGGAAAACCAGCTTTTTGAAGCGAGACAGATTGTAAGAGCATGGAAACAAAGAAAATGGCAGAGCACTCCACAGTTTGGGTGTGTAAGGAAAGAAGGATGTACTATAACAGGTAATTCTAGTGTGACCGACATTCACACAGAAACAGTGGGCACAGAGGGCAAGATGAGTGTTACGAGCTCGCGGCCTTGCTGGCGGTACACAGGATACCAAACACTGCCCATTAAAGTACTGTACCTGTAAAAGAGAGTGAAGCAACAATGCGGCGAAAAGAAAGGGACTAGAGATTATCAACTAAGGGAGAGGAGAGTTAATAAGACGAAATGCCTTTGATTCCACCCTATCTAACAGTTGGACAGAAGAGCCACCCCAGAAATGAGAGCAGTACTCCAAGCTAGGACGAACGAATCCCTTATAAACTTGAAGCAACTGCTCAGGAGTGAAGTAGCTACGGCCTTTGTACAGCATTTCCAGCTTTCAGGAGGCAGCTTTAGCAATGTTGTGGATGTGTGGCTTAAAGATTTCTACCCTAAAACTAAACCAAGGTATATTAGGGTAGTACGTACAGTACAGTACATTCCGAGAGAACTGATATGAAGCACAGCATGTCAGTAGTGGCTAAGTTTCACCCTGCACACACTATTTATGTTAAGGATGTGCAGTATTTCCTTTTATTCTAGCCCTTTCTTGTCACTTTCCACAGTTGTCTTTCATCACTCTCCCCCTGTTTCCCCACTTCTTGTACCCCTTGATCCACCTCATACGGAAGTGGGAAAGGAATAAAGACAATAGAGACACATTTGTTCCTATAAGGTGTGAAAAGATCGTTGGGCTGCTTTCAATTATTGATTCGAGGCTTTTCAGTGGACCTTTCAATACAAACATACAGCTAAACCTCTATTTAAAGAACTATATGGAGAAGATGGTCCGTAATATCAAGGGTACTGTATATTTGATGTGAAACCTCCTTCAGCGAATAACAGTTGATAGAGAAGGAAAGTCCGTTATATTGAGGTGTCCGTGGAGAGATAAAGTCCGTTATATGGAGGTTTCACTCTATCTTTTTAACATTGAAGAATAAATAGGCACCATACTACAAAGCAATATTATGTCTCTAAAAGTTATATTAGATGTAATATCAGGAACATAACTTTTAAACAAAACTATAAAAATTATTACTGCATTATACACAAGATAAATGTATACTCTTTCTAATTATCTAAATGATCTTTCCAGTTACTGTTGAAATAGTTGGCAGTCTGTTGGTAAGATTTTATTTAACATGAGGCATAAGGGACATATATTGTACATTGTTTCTGAATACAAGTATTAGAGAATGAAAAATACAAAAATAAAAATATGGTAAGGGTAAACTTACTGACAATCATAGTCAACTTATGAATCAATTATACATCTATTAAAAAAACTGGTCCACGATAATTCAATATTCTTGGTAGCATTTATAAATATTTATCAAAGTACAGGTACTTCGTGCTCAGCCTTGTGTA